GTCCGGGTGTCTCGACCTTGTGCACAGCTAGGGTGGTGTACCCGGGTTCTTGGGAGAACGTCGCCTGCTTCTCCCACAGAAGCTGTCTTGCCTGTACCTTCTCTGCCGGGTTTAGCCGGTCCCCTAGCTGTACAAGACTAGTAAGGTCAGTCTGGGGATCCTTCTCTAACAAGTCAGGTAAGGGTAAATTCTCAGGGTCGTCAGTAGCTGGGGCACATACTGCCACAACATCCTCTGGTCTCTCCTGATACTCCTTCAGCACGTTCACATGAAAGGATCGCTGAATCCTTTCATCTGCACAGCTGGCTATAAGATAGGTAGTATCACATACCTGAGCTAACACTTTATACGGGCCCTGCCAAGATGTTTGCATCTTGTTCGTCTTCACAGGCTTGAGCACTAGAACCTTCTGCCCAACCTGGAAGACCCGCTGTCGGGCACCCCGATCGTACCACCGCTTCTGTCTCCCCTGGGCTGCCTGGAGATTCTCCCTTACCATCAGGGATAGTTTCTCCATGCGGTCCAGGAGTTCCAGGACATATGGTACTATGGGGGTCCCTTCTTGCTCTGTCTCCCCCTCCCAGTGCCGTCTAATGAGATCTAGGGGTCCGCGGACCCTTCTCCCATAGAGTAACTCATAGGGGGAGAACCCAGTAGATTCCTGGGGCACCTCTCTGTATGCAAATAGCAGATGAGGCAGGAATCGCTCCCAGTCTCTGCAAGTGTCAGTAAAGGTCCTCAACATCTGTTTGAGGGTGCCATTAAATCGCTCGCAGAGACCGTTAGTCTGTGGGTGATAAGGTGAGCTAAGCAGCGGTTTAATGCCGCACACCTTCCACAACTGCTGGGTAAGCACAGCGGTGAACTGAGTTCCCTGATCGGAGAGGATCTCCTGAGGGAACCCGACCCTAGTGAAAATTTTAACCAGGGCATCAGCAACCGTCTCTGCCTCTATATTAGACAGCGCTACTGCCTCTGGATAACGTGTGGCATAGTCCACCACGGTAAGAATGTATTTCTTACCTGATGGGCTAGCCCTGGCCAGTGGACCCACAATGTCAACGGCTATGCGGGAAAAGGGTTCTCCAATGATAGGCATCAACTGAAGCTTACCTACCCGTTGACAGGTGTCACACGTGCTACAATAAACCCGCACATCTCGGTTAAAATTGGGCCAGAAAAAGTTTTGGCTGATTCTATGAGCTGTGCGGTGATTCTATGAGCTCATGCAGGATGCCCCAGTACTCCTCTTCCTCTACACAGTGAACAGCGGGGAGAGGTGGTCGTGGATTGCCCCCGGCTGGTCTCCTCCAGGACTGGTTCTGGTTGGCACTGTTCATCGGGCACTCCAGTCGCTTGTGCCCTAGCTGCTTGCATAGGTAGCACCGAATGGGTTGTGAGTACTCCCGTGAGTTAAACCGGGGTGGCTGTTGATACTGGGCAGACGGAGGGGGTGCTGATGGCCGATTCATTGGAGGCTGATAGAGGTTGGCTGCTGTTGGTGCTGCTGGCCTGTATTCCACTCTGGCGGGAACCTTGCTGATGGAACTGTCCAGTTTGCGGGCATCTGTATACTCATCCGCCAGGCGAGCTGCTTCATGTAGAGTGGAGGGTTTACGGTCCCTTACCCACTTTCTGACCCCTGCTGGTAATTTGTCAAAGCAATGTTCCAATAGAAACATCTGCAGCACCTCTTCTCCGGACACAGCCTGGCACTCCACCATCCAGTGGGCGGCTGTGCGGTGCACCTTACATGCCCATTCAACGTAAGAGTCTCCAGCTGTTTTAACAGTGTCTCGGAACCTCCTCAGGTATGCCTCGGGTATAACGGCATACCGGGAGAGTAAAGCTTCCCTAACGGCCACATAATCCCCGATCTCCTCATCAGGAATGGCCCAAAAGCCTCGCTGGCCCGGCCGGATAACTTGCCGGACAATATAGTAACCCAGTCTTCCAGGGGTACCTTGTGCAGGGCACATTGCCGCTCAAAATCAGCAAGGTACCCATCAATCTCTCCTTCTGTATCACTGAAGGCTTTAAATGCAGTAAACGGCACTTTCTTTCTTTCCCCCAGGTTTGCTGTGATTGGGGCTGCTGCAGCACCGCTTTGGCGTAGCAGGTTGGCCTCCACAGCTGCCATGACCTGGGTGATGATCTCTGCAGATGGGTTGGGACCATAATGGGCCAGCCTGATTCTTACCGCCCGGTCAAAGCTTGCCTCCTCGGGGGTTCTGTCAGCTGTGCTGGGTCCATTGGTTCCCTCTGCCGCTGGTACTCCATCCATTTCCAGCAATAACGCAATAATGTCCCTCTTCCTGAGGTTACTGGCCTGTCCGCCTCTTTGCTCTAATAAATCTTTTAGGGTAGCTCTTCTCAGGTTTTGGTATTGTAATTCCATTTAATCCTGGTTGTAGTGGTCTCTTTGGGCGCTGAGGATCATCCCGTCGCTTGCCACCAGTTGTTACGGTACCTCCAGTAGTAAATGCACAAACCGCCGTTTAGTGAATGCTCCCCGTTCGCAATAATGTGGTCTGGTAGCGTATGCAGCATAACCATGCGAACCGCCAGCTAGGGAACACTCCAAACTCCCGAATGGTACCTGTACGGCTCCTTCCCTTCACGAGCTCCAAATGCACGAATCGCCACTAGCAGCTGAACGGCAATAGTTTCCAAGCGGCAAATAATCCCAATAAGCAGTCTCTAGTCGCCGGTAATAAAATCCCCCCAATAACGAGACCAAGCTCCGCTTTGAGGGTAAAACACGAACTGAGTTTACTGTGGGCTACCTGCCCGTATTTATGCAGGTCTCCCACTTGGTGGACACTCCCCTAGGGGACCAAAAGACTGAAATAACAGAAGGACATGGGGACATTTGGACATACATCCCCACAATATTCCCAGCATGCATCACAGTTTCCTCCCCTCTGCTCGGGAGATAATTGGGAAGTAATTCAATTATCTCCCCGAGCAGAGGCACATCGCCATTTTAACTCAAAGTTACAAAACACATTAAAATCCATAACTTTAATACTGCCGAACGTATTGCATTCGTATAACACATCCCCAGATAGCCTGGATCTGAGTGCATATTATTGGCGAATAGCGCTCAGATCCCATATGCATAGTTCAATCGCCATGGAATCAAAGTCTATTACAGCTCTTCGGTATGCGATTGACTCCATGGGAAGGCTATCTGGGTTAAGTCCATTCGTGTTGTTAAATCTCCCGAACGGCCGGTATTCGTATGCTTTTGTCGATTGAGAAGGGGAGGTCGACGGCTTCAGTGGTGTTCGGTTGAAAAAGTGTCCATTTTGAGTTCCATGAAATAATCGTCGAACACCGCTGGGCTTTCACATAGTCAAAATGGCCACCGCCTCGTGGTCGACATACAAACGACGACCACCCGGTATTCGGTTTTAATTGAGAAGTGTCTGTGGTTAACCGCAACGTTCTAATTGGGATCAATAGGTTAACCAGCAGCACACTTCTCTTCTGGGTGGCTGTCCGTTCGGTAGTTCCGTTCGACAAAAAAAGACATTCCCTTAAACAAGGCATACGAATGGGGAAATTCATGCAAACGGCAAGACAGACGAACACAGTACTTTTAGTCCATACGGATGGGTCTGTCACACAACCCATGATGATACCTAGTCTCCCTCAAAAGTTTGGTGCATTGTTCATAATCCATGTATGTAAAATTTGCCATGTGATGTAATTATGTGTACCTAAATGAAGTATACCCATTGTTTGACTATGAATACCTCTTCCTTTTCTGTACCCAACTGCCACTCTATTGACTCAATAAAAATTGTCAAATTGAAAAAAAAAAAATTTGTTAATGGTTTTGCTAGTACTTTGGGTGTATTCCATCAGGTCCCATATTATCAGGTCCATCAGGTCCCTTATTTGTCTTTACTTTTGACAGTTGAAATAGAACCTCTTCCTCTGTAAACTCACATGTAACAAATGACTCATTTGTCTTTTTTCCTAACTGATGCCCCTTTCCTTCATTTTCATCTGTAAATACTGAACAAAAATAATAATTGAGGCAGTCAGCTAGACCTTTATTACATAGTTACATAGCTGAAAAGAGACTTGCGACTTTTGCTCTTGATCCAAAAGAAGGCAAAAAAACCTAGTCTGAAGCACTTTCAATTTTGCAACAAACTAGGAAAAAATTCTTCTTGACCCCAAAATAGCAGTCAGATGTCTCCTTGGATCAAGCAGCTATTACCCCGCTAATTAGAAATTATATCCCTGTATGTTATGTTTTTGCAAGTATTTATCCAATTGCAGTTTAAACATCTGTAGGGGATCTGATAAAACCATCTTGTGACAGACCCTCTGTCCCTGAATTTTAAACTTTTAAACTCTTGCTCGTCTAAACCATTCGTCTGTAACAGATTCACCTTTTTTGTACTAATGGCTGTTTGAATAACAAATTTTCTACCGAACGACCGACCACACAGAATGGAATGGGAGTGTGGTGCTTGTTAACCTCACTGCACTTATTAACACCTCCAAAACCACAAACACCCCTAACATTCTAAATGATCAACTGGGTGGTCGGTGTTCGTATGCATGAATACGTGGCGGCGGCCATCTTGGAATACGAATGCAGCCAGCTGTGTTTTGTCGTCGAGTGTATGGAACTAAAATTGGACACTCGACGGCACGAACATCGCTGAGAGTTAATGCACGAACAGAGCGCCGTTCGTTAGATACAATGTACCGAACTAGTTATATTCAATGCTACTGTGCACGAACAGCCCCATTCAACTCTTTTAATGGATTTTGATTATACGAAAGAGACCGACCGCACAGCCTAATCCTCTGGAGCTATTTTGTGCATGAAAACGTGCGGTCGGTCAAAAGAGACTTCCACAGGGGGCGTGGCTAACCGCCGGGCAAGATGGCAGCTTAAGATTTTGCTCCGGCACATGGGATCCGTACTCAAGTGAAATATCCGAGCAGTAACGCTACAAATCGAAGCCCAAAAGATGTCACAGGCTAAGGGGAAGAAAGCGGCACCCAAAGCTGATAAGAATAACTTCTTTGGACACAAACCGCTCGCTGCAACAGAAACCGCGCAAGCCATGCTTGCCGCCGCGCAAGATGGCGCCGACAGCCCAGATGCAAGCTCTCACTTGACACAGCGGGACGAGATACCACAGACTGGACACCTCACAATAACTCACTTCGAACGGGCAATGGAAGCAATGTCAGCAAAACTGATACGAACCTGGCAATCCACAGCCGACCAAATAAAAAATGAAGTCAGAGAACTCTCCAACAGAACAGCCTCAGTGGAAAATGACTGCCAGGACCTAAAAACCGCACAAACCGGAATCTCCGAAAACTTACTTACCTTACAGCAAAGAATGGAGGCCATGGAAGGTAAACTGGCAGACTATGAGGACAGAGCTCGGAGGAATAACCTACGGCTAAGAGGGGTTCCAGAATCGGTCCAACCGGACGACCTACAACTGTACGTCAGGGGCCTGATGCACGCCTATGCCCCAGACATCCCCTCAGACATGCTGCTGGTCGACAGAGTCCACAGAGTCCCCAAACCAAAGCACCTACCGGACTCCGCGCCTCGCGACGTGGTACTCAGAGCACACTACTACCACATTAAAGAACTTGTGCTCTGGGCCCACCGCAGCAGACAAGAGCCGCACGAGGACTATCCGTCAGTACTGATCATGGCGGACTTATCAGCCGCAACGCTGAGGAGGAGAAGAGACTTCCAGCAAGTCACAACGGAACTAAGGGACCAAGGCATCCGCTACAGATGGGGCTTCCCCACAAAACTTATACTGACGAAGAATGGAGAAACGAAACTCTTCTCACGACCAGAAGACGCCATGAATGAACTGGCGAGATGGAGCCCGCGTAGCAAACAGAGTGCCCCACCTGCATCCTCGGCCCACGGGCGCAAATCCACGCGAACTGACCGAATGGACTAACTGCAAAATATATCTTACGGCGCAAGTATATTGACATTGATGTTATTTAATACTTTTTTACTTTGTTGTTCACATGTTGCTTCTGATATTAAGCACGCATATACAATTTAGATGTCGCCACCACCACCACACACAACTGGGCTACGGTGCACCGTGTCCGAGCAATGACATGTCCAACAGGTGACCACCAGCTGACACCACAGACAGGGATGACGGCCCTATGCCACGATACACACACCTGACCCGCTTTACAAGCGGGAAGCGCAAGTCCGGCCACACGCCAGCCCCCACCACCACGGGTACACCAGGGAGGACGTTCCCCTCCCCTGCCGACGCCACACAGTCGGACAAGTCCCCAGACACAGTGACACCTGCGTAGATGGAGGGGTGAATGGCGAATGCCTATTCACACACAGACATCCGACCTCAAGGCGCGACATGGCGGCATGAGGCTGCGCTTCACATCACACAGCACAGCGCCCCACAACAATCTTAATCACAACCACACGTACCCCTCATTTAAAGAGGTCTTTAACCCGGGCTGACCCCCTGTACAAGATGGCCCGCACTGAATCACAGAGAAGTCGCTGCACCGAATGACCCTCAGACACTTATCAAGGCGCTGTTACACATGAGTACGGCAACATGACATAGCTAACAATATACCTGCTGCAACATACTCAGTTACGTGTTAAAAGTTGCGAATATTTACAAGTTATTACCGTTTCGGACATGGCAATGTTACAAGTCATATTGCAATGCAATACCATGCATAGCACAACTGCCCGATACGATGAAGTTCCCCCCACCCTACACCATCCTACACAACTATTGCGAATGTCAACATGACCATCTGCTCTACCCTGGTTAACAAGCGGATCCCGCAAGCCACCCACTTGGATTACTACTACTCCAATCCCCCCACGGTACGACCAGCGTACCAGACCTAAATAGGCCGTTATACATACTGCCACACCCTTCCCGCGGTCCTTATACTCAAAACCGCACCACCCTACCCTTCCCTATCTGCCCCAACCCCCCCCTCCACCCCCAGTGACGATTAACTTACGCACAAACCTACCGCATCCTCTGAACCCACAAACATGGCACACATGAAACTTTACTCCCACAACACCAAAGGGTTGAACACACCACACAAACGAAGACTGCTGTTGCAAGATTTGAAAAGTCAAAAAGCAGACATAGTATGCCTCCAAGAGACACACTTTGCCACCAACAGAACCCCCACATTCGCCCTCCGAGACTACCCCACTCAGTACCATGCCACCCACTCCTCAAAATCGCGAGGGGTCTCTATTCTCTTACACAAGTCGCTAACTACGGAAATACTCCACGCTAAAAAAGACAGCCAAGGTCGATTCTTGATCCTACACTGCATACTGAACAACCTACCATTCTTGCTGGTATGTCTATACAGCCCAAACGACCAACAAAGAAATTTCCTACATAAAATTCTCGCCAAATTGCCAAATGTGACGAATACGCCTATAGTCATCTGCGGAGACTTTAACCACACCATGAACTCCCACATGGACTCCACAGTAAAAGCCGACTCCGCCAGGCACGCTAACCAAAAAACGGCGAACAAAGCCTTCACGAAACTGATCCACGAATATGGACTATACGACACCTGGAGAACACGCAACCCGAACGAAAGAGAATACACGTTCTACTCACAGGTCCACAAAACATACTCAAGGATTGACCACATACTGACATCAGGCACCCTTCTCCCGGCCATCACAGACTGCTCCATAGGGAACATAGTCTGGTCCGACCATGCACCACTTGCAATGACCATACTGACTCAATACCAACACAGAGGAAAACCACCGTGGCGCCTAAACGACACCCTGCTACACAACACCGTATTCGCGACAAAACTCAAGAACAACTTGCAAACATACTTCGAACTCAATGACCTCCCGGAAACCTCCGCCGCAGCCATATGGCAGGCCCACAAACCTGTCATGAGAGGCCTCCTGATAAGCCAAGCATCCTTCCTGAAAAAACAGCAAGAACGGGAACACTTGGATCTTCTAAGGAAACTGCGAGACACGGCCAATGAACATCTATTGAAACCGTCTGACGAACTAGCCAAATCTATAGCACTCATAACCAACCAGATCAACACACTAGCTCTAAGCAAGACAACTCATATCTTAACGAAGTTGAAGATGAAAACATATACACAAGGCAATAGAGCAGGGAAACACCTAGCAACCATCCTCCGACAAAAACAAGCGAACTCTAAAATCCCATACCTGCTAACTAAAGAGGGAGGAAAAATCCACAACCCACAAGACATAAACGATGGAATGGCAGACTACTACCAAGCGCTATACAACCTAAAAGATGACTCTACCCTACACCAACCCTCAAACGAAGATATAAAAGATTATCTCCAACAAACAACACTGCCCACGCTCTCCATAACACACAAACAAATCCTTCAAGCCCCAGTAACGACCCAAGAAATAATAGACACAATTCAAGCACTCCCCATAGGAAAATCCCCCGGCCCTGACGGGTTAACTAACTCATACTACAAACAATTCGCACACATCCTGGCCCCCCATTTAAACAAACTAATCAACCACACATTACAAACTGGAACACTGCCAGAGGAGATGCTAATGGCTCACGTAGCTACCCTGCCAAAGCCGGGAAAAACCCCCAACAGAAGCCAAAACCTACGGCCAAGTTCCCTACTGAACACTGATGTCAAACTCATTGCAAAAATCTTCACAAACAGACTCTCCCCCATCATCCCCGAGCTAATAGGCAAGGACCAAGTAGGATTCGTCAGCGGTAGGCAGGGAGCAGATGGCACACGGAAAGTACAAAACCTCTTACACAGCCTGCGGGAGAAAAGGGCCCCAAGCATCCTCCTATCCCTAGATGCTGAGAAAGCATTCGACAGACTCCACTGGCCGTTCCTACTAGCGGTCCTACAAAAATTCGAATTCCCTCCCCAATTCCTCGCCCTCATCAAAGCACTATACTCCTCCCCTACGGCACGAGTGACAAATGGGGGATTTATCTCCAAAACCTTCAAAATTTCAAATGGCTCCCTCCAAGGATGCCCACTCTCCCCGATACTATACATTCTGGCACTCGAACCTCTGGCCCAAATGATAAGAGATGACCCCGCCATAAGCGGAATGCACATAAAAGGGAAGGAATATAAACTAACGCTGTTCGCGGATGATATCCTGCTATCATTAGAGCACCCGCACATATCGCTACTACAATTCCATAAAATACTGGCCCTCTACAGTAGATGCTCTTTCTACAAATTAAACATAGCAAAAACACAGGCCCTGAGCATTAACATCCCAAACCAAGACCTGAACGTCCTGAAAACACACTTTAACTACGAATGGAGACAAGACCATATCAAGTTCCTAGGGGTCAACGTCACACCCACACCCGCCACCTTATTTAAAGCAAATTACATAAAACTTTTAGGGGAAATCAAATCCATCACACAAGGATGGAAAGGCAAATACGTATCATGGATGGGACGAATAGCATCGACAAAAATTATACTTCTACCTAAGATACAATACCTCTTCAGAACGCTCCCCCTCCAGCTCCCCACAAAACATCTCTTGGAAATACAAGAACAAATTAACACATACGTCTGGGAAAACACAAAACCCAGAGTAGCGCGCACCACTATGTTCCGACCACTCTCCCAAGGAGGTATGGGCTTACCTGACATAAGAGGATACTACCGAGCAGCGCACATAGCCCCACTCCTCTCAGCATTCCACCACAAGGAAGCGATGGCCTGGGTAGAAATTGAAACAAACTATGCCAACGGACTTTCCCTTCCAACAATGGCCTGGATGCCGAAACACCAAAGACCAAGTAACAAATCACTACTACCAACAACTCAACTAACTTTAACGATATGGGATAACTATCGCAAAAAGATGGGCATATTGACGAAAATATCACCAGCCCTCCCACTAGAAGCTTTGGGAGTCATCATCACGGACTTCAACTACAAAATATGGAACAAACACGGCGTACGAACCCTATCCCAACTCACGACAGACTCCCATCTCAAACGTCTGCCAGACCTCCAACGAGAATTCCACTTACCTGCAACAGCTGCCTTCCCCTACAGGCAACTGCAAGCCTGGTTCGCCCTACAGACAAGGAAATTGGCGATAACCTTCCTGGAGCCCCCCCTACTGGAAGTCGAAAAGATATGTCTAACAATCAAACCAGCCAAGAAACTGATCTCACTGATCTATACTTCAGAACACAATCAACCCTCGAAAAAAACCCCATCCTTTAAAACAGCATGGGAGAAAGACATCAAACACCCACTTACTGAAGACCAATGGCAGAACATTTACAAAGCACACAAACAAATGACGCTTTGCATGAACCATGTGGAACTCTCCCGAAAAGTTCTCTACAGGTGGTACCTGGTGCCCACACGCCTCAAGCTCAGCTTCCCCAACACATCAGACATATGCTGGAGATGCCAGGCAGACAAGGGCACCATGATCCACATCTGGTGGCACTGCCCGCAACTCACAACATACTGGCTGGAAGTAAAGAAACTAGCAGCAAGATGCACCAAAACGCACCTGCCACTCCTACCGGAAATATTTCTTCTACTACTACTCCCGAACAAACTGCGGAAAAGCCACAGATACCTCCTCTACCACATCATCATCTCAGCATTAGCAACCATAAGCAGGAAATGGAAACAAACAACCCCACCGACAATAGAACAATGCATCAAAGCGATAGACGACTCCAAGCGCTACGAAATGATGGCACGGAAAGCGAGACCAAAAGCAGCATACCACTCTACGGCATGGGAAATATGGGACGAGAACAAGCTACAATCCCGTAAAGGAGCTCATACCCAACACACCACATAAAAACACCATATGAGGACACTTACCCACTTCCTAACAACATGCTCCACGATGGCAGCACTTCCCTCTTCCTACCACAACCTCAACAAAAGAATCAGAGGAATCCACATCCCGCTAAGTCACCCTGCCCCCCCCTCCCCACTCCCCCACTCCCCCACTCCCCACCCCCTCCCACCCCCCCCAAGGGAATAAATAAAAACACAGGCATACCAGCTCACGACATCCTCATACACCGACCCACACTCTCAAGGATAAACGAAAGGACCCAAGCAAACAGGTGAACGACTCCACCAGCAGCAGGGACGAGACACAACACATCACCAAGCAGGCACACCTCACCAGGGTAAATATACCATCCCTACTCTGGAACACCCTAAAGAACACGCACCCTCTGCAACCACACGTTACACATTGCAACCTAGCATGAGGCACAAACGAATAGAGGACTAGCAACAAATCACAAAGCTGTGCCCAAATACTGAAACCTCCACACCTGAATCAAATTGCTAATTGTAAAAATGACTATGTGTACAAAACATTGAACTTGGAGACTGTATACTATGTTCCCCCCCCCTGCTTTCTTCTGTACCCCACCACTCCAACCCACCAAAATAAAAATTGTCAAATTCAAAAAAAAAAGAGACTTCCACCTAATTTTTGAACCCCTGAACCGATCTGGGTGATGTTGTTACCCCAGATCAGGGCTATCAGGAGATATATATTTTCTGTGTTTCCCATATGTTTTTGGGATGTTTGCAAAATTGGGTAAAAACTTATTTTTCATTTGGAGATAATTGAGTTGATACAGTAGTTAACTCAATTATCTCTCAAACAGAGGGTAGGGCCTGTGTACAGTAACTGGGAGTGTTCAAGTGTAAAACTCTGTTTTTATTGATTTTTAATTTCATGTCCTGTGCCCTACAAGGTCCATCTGGGCGGTAACCTTGTGGGGAAAAACTGTATAAATGAGCAGTTGTACCATTAAACCTTCAGTTCTTATTTTACCCTCAATCTAGAGTCTTGTGTCTTATTGGGGGAAACTGCTATACAGCTATCACACTAGCTCTTGTAAGAGCTTCTCTACTTGGATGCCTGCTGGAATGCTGTAAATACCCCTCACACTCGGGAGAAGGACACCCTCTAGCGGTGGGAACCCCTCTACTCATCGGGGTAACCACTACACATCTCTTCAGACAGAGAATTCTATATCCTCGTTGCTCTAACTGTAAAAAAAACCTTGTATTTTCCTTAGATGAAATCTCCTTTCTTCCAGCCTAAATGTGTGACCTCGTGTCATATGTATAGCCCTGTTTATGAATAGATTTGCAGATAATGGTTTGTACTGGCCCCGAATATATTTGTATAATGTTATCATATGCCCTCCGAGGCACCGTTTTTCCAAACTAAAAAAAATTTACTTTTTTTTACTTTTTTTCGTAACTAAAATGTTCCATTCCTTTTATCAATTTTGTAGCTCATCTCTGCACTTTTTCTAGTGCCATGATATCCTTCTTTAGAACAGGTGCCCAAAATTGCACTGCATATTTAAGGTGTGGTCTTACCAGTGATTTATAAAGAGGCAAAATTATATTTATGCCCCTATTTATACATTAAAAAACCTTACTGACCTTAGCAACTGACCTTACTGACCTTAGCATTGACATTGCATATTGCTGCCTAATTTGTTGTCTATAATAGTTCCCAAATCCTTCTCGTTTTTGTGGTTATCCCTAATTCACTACCATCTATGGTGTAAGTTGACCCCGAAGTGCGTAACTTTGCATTTCTCTACGTTATATTTCACCTGCCATTTTAGTGCCCAGTCCCCCAATCTATCCAAACCCTCTGCAGCAAATCAATATCTTGCTCACATTTTATTACTTTACAAAGTTTTGTGTCATCTGCAAACACTGAAATGTGGCTTTCAATGCCTATTTCAAGATCATTTATAAATATGTTAAATAGAAGAGGTCCCAAAACAGAACCCTAAGGGACACCACTTGCCACTTTTGTCCAGCCTGAAAATTTACCATTAATGAAAACTCGTTGTAATCTATCCTTAAGCCAATGTTCTACCCAAGTACAAGAATATTCATCTAGACCAATTTCTTTTAGTTTGAAGACTAACCTATTGTGAGGAACCGTATCAAATGCCTTGGCAAAATCCAAGTAGATCACATCCACTGCAACACCCTGATCTATACTTCTATTTACTTCTTCGTAGAATGCAATTAGTTTGACATGACCTATCTTTCATAAAACCATTCCAATTCCTGAATATTATCCCGTAACAGCCCTTCAATCATTTTCCCAATCACAGAAGTTAAGCTCACAGGTCTATAATTTCCAGGCAAGGATTTTGAACCCTTTTTAAAAATAGGAACAGAAGTTGAGCTCACAAGTCTATAATTTCCAGGAAAGGATTTTGAACCCTTTTTAAATATAGGAACGATGAATTCCTGAATATTATCTCGTAATAGCCCTGAATATTATCCCGTAATAGCCCTTCAATCATTTTCCCAGTCACAGAAGTTTAGCTCACAGGTCTATATTTTCTAGGCAAGGATTTTGAACCTTTTTGAAATATAGGAACAGAAGTTAAGCTCACAGGTCTATAATTTCCAGTCAAGGATTTTGAACCCTTGCCTGGAAATTATAGACCTAAAATTATAGACCTGTGCCTTCCTCCAATCCACCGGTACAATACCTGAAACAAAAGAATCTTGAAAAATTAAATACAGAGGTTCATTTATTTCCCCACTTAGCTCCTTAAGTACTCGTGGGTGAATACCGTCAGGCCCCAGAGCTTTATGTACATTCATTTTTATTTAACAGATGAAAGGATTAAAAATGAAGTGTGTGACTACTTTAAATGGACAAGACTATATTATTAGAAATAACAATTGTTAAATGTCAGCTTAAAAGTAAAACCGGTTGCAGACCATCAAAGAAATAACCTTTTAACCCCTGGTTACAGAAATACATGTTGTTGGTTGCTGAATAAGCAATATCGTGTTTAGCTGGTATTATCTTGTCATGTTACTTTTGCTGTGCCTTCTGTCTATAAATATGTTTGCCTGACTCTTATTACATTGGTAGTAGCCCAAAGTGAAACACGTTGTCTGTGTATCACTGAAAGGCTCTCCCCAAACGTTCGGTCCAAAAGTGAGGTACATGGAACGCTTTGCCCAGGAGTGTAAAATGATCTCAACAACAGCTGTAGCACCTTGTCTTGAGTTATCCAATCACAAGTTATCCTCTTCTACATACATTCCTTCTTTTGCTTTTAATCTAACTAATCCTTGTTTTACTTTCCTTTTGTCATTTATGTATCTAAAAAATGTTTTGTCCCCCTTTTGTACTGACTGTGCTATTTTCTCTTCTGTGTGTGGGTTGGAAGCTCTGCAATCAATGTATGCTGTAAACTTTTTGATAGGAATACAAATTCTTATAAAGCTGTTTTTTTACTTAAGGGTATTAAAAAAAGGTGTATTACAACACAGAGATTGATTTGTAAAAAAAAATATACACTCTAGTTGTAAGGAACCAGTCCCAAGACAAAAAAAAGCAAAACAAATTGGCAATTGCAAAAGGCAAATGGTGTCAAATATGTGACATGGGATGCTTTCAGTTTAAAGTGTGGACCTTGATAAAGGCCATCTGTGCAGAAACATTGGGTTATTTTTCTGCCCTCTTTTGACTGATCAGGTAAATATATTGTACAGCAGTTCATGTGCTTATTTTTTATGATTTGAACTTTTGTTTTAGTAAATGTATTGAGTTTTGCTCTCTTTTGTTGGTTTATATACATATGAAATATATGAGGTGTGATAAGGTGAATGGGTGGTCTGTGAGGGAGTTTATATTTCATCTACATTGTTCAGAGAAGCATATGATCTTTAACCCCAGGGGGAATGTATGTATGTATGTGACTTAAATGCATATTTAGTTATGGGCCCCTGGGGTGGAGCATTTGGAGAGAAGGGTAGGCCAGTGCTCCACTACGCTATTTACTGTTTTCCTTTGGGAGACTAGGTCCAGACCAGGCTTTGGACTGTCTCCAGCCCACTGATCAGCTGCAGGTAATCAGCTGCAGTAGTGGGAATAAATCCCTCCCTGCTAGGCAGGTAGGGGAAGAATGTTTATTTCTCTCTGGAAGGGCTGGAAGCAGCAGGCTGTCAAAAACGCTGGAGTGCTGAGAGCTGAAAAAGACGCTAGGTTGGTGAAACCACTTCTTGTTTTATTATAGGTTAAACCCTTGAGAGAGAGGGAACTTGATGTCAGTTAGTGCTCAGACCGAGCTAGGTTTTTGTTTATAGGATTTTGTTACATTTTGTTTTCATTTGCTGCTGTAGCTGTGGTGGAGTTTGACAATAAAACTGCCTGAATTATATGCAAACCATAGGACTGTGCCTGTTTACCCTAGAGGACCGTGCTACCTGCAGACAAGGATCACAATATGGTGGAGAATGCGGGCACAGTAGCACATTGAGGGTCTGTGGGTGTGCCAGTCATTTGGTAGTCTGCTTGAGGACTTTTTATTTTTGCAGAACTTTAAGACTGTTACCTGCTAGGTGCTACAATGGAGGACCTGCTGAAGGCTCTGGTACAGGCAACTGCTGCACAAAAAGAGGCAACTGCTGTACAGCAAGACACAAACCGTTTATTGGCTTTATTGGATAGAGCTATCCTTTTGCAGAGAATGTTATTGCCATGCGCAGGGGACCCCCTTGGGGACAGGGGACCCCGGATTCGAGCAACTGACTTCCTGCATAAAATTACAGAGCCAGATGACGTGGAAGCTTACCTCACCACTTTTGAGAGGGTTGCTGCCCGGGAAAAGTGGCCATCAGACCAGTGGGCGGGGCTTCTAGCTCCATGCCTGAGTGGGGAGTGCCAGAAAGCCTATGAAGATTTGTCTTCGGACCAGGCCCAAGATTATAAGCATCTCAAAGCAGAAATTCTAAAGCGTATAGGAATAACACCTGCCATTAGGGCCCAAAGGTTTCACAACTGGATTTATGATATGAGTAAACCCACCAGAGCCCAGATGTATGGATTGCTAAGGCTCGCCCAGAAATGGTTGGAACCAGAGCGCCACCCTGCTACCAAGATAGTGGAGATGGTTGTGATGGACCGTTTTCTTAGACACCTGCCAACAGGACTGCGACAATGGGTCAGCCAAGGGGACCCTCAGGATCTGGAAGCAATGATGTGCCTGATTGAGAGGTATTTGGTTGCCAAGGAACCCCACAGTATTGTTCATCAGCCTAACTCCAGA